ACCTCGCTATTATGTGATTGTCTCTCAGACCGAGGGAGGACGCCGAGGTTCGGCGACGGGCCGTTCTCCGTCCCCGAGAGTTTGTGAACTCCTTCCCACCTCCAACAGATATAGCTTGGAATCACCTATTGTGGAATACACATGAGCAATCACTCGAAGAAGAAAAGACAGTTACCTTTTCCATAACTGGTGTTCTTCGAGATGTGCTGCTCGTGTCTATTCCACATCCCGCCCTCCTTCCCTTTTGTCAAAGTTGTCTGGCAAGAAGGAACTGAGGGTGGGGGGAGCGCGTAGTGCCCCTTATACCACGCCATGGAGGCGCCACTCCAGGGGTCACTAGGGCGCTCCTCTACGGGTACTGCTAGGGAAAAAACTTCTGGTACCGGTGCACATGGCAAGCATGCACACCTATTGTGGAATAGATATGAGCAACACATCTTGAAGAACACCAGTTACGGAAAAGGTAACTGTCTTTTCTTTTTTTTTTTTGACTTTTGGTTTCTAACAATGTCTTCCTGTGCTGAATATACATCTTCACCCCTTATGTCGTAATAAAAAAAATACCATTTGGGACTCAATGAGATATTGAGGTAAAAATCTGGTGTCCCATAACTTTCTTAGTGTTTTTCTTTACATATTAATTAAAAATGCCTTTCTACTGTAAAAATGATTAACAATATTACATTATTTCATTTTGTACTTTTCTATTACAGTTGATGCAAACACATGGGCACAAGTTATTGCGTTGTACCCAACTTTAGTTGAATGTATCACTTGCTCATCCTCGGAAGTCTGTTCTGCTCTCAAGGAGGCACTAGTTCCCTTTAAGGACTTTATGCATCCACCAGCACCCAAGGTACAGAATGGAGAGTCTTGAAAAGATAAAACTTTTTTATTTTTGAAAGAAAAAAAGTATCCCAAAAAAGAATGTTTGTTCCTAACTGAGACTTCTCTGAGGAAATCTCTTGATACTAGTACTTGGCAACCAGCGTTGACCTTACAATTGTACTAACAAGAGCTTTGTAATTCATGCATACAAGCTTACAGCTCAAAGGTTCCAGAGTGAGTAGCAGTGCAAGCCTTTAATAAATTTAACTGACTAGATGGAATCAGTTGCAACCTAATGTACTTGCTACAATATATTGAAGTGGTGATTGAAAAGTGGGCTTATGTACAGCTTGTGGTGTATGTGTTAATGATGTAATTTAAAAAAAAGTATTTCAATTCAGTCAGATTGATTAGGCTGGTGTTTTGCACCATTTTTTCAAGTACAAAATTGTACTAAAATTTTATGCAAGATGGTACTGTAACATTCCATATGATTATCTGTAACCAGCCTTTGTAAACAAAGGGAACTGATGAACTTGTGTGTATAATAAATGGTACAGTTCTGTATAAAATAGTTGCATTTATTATTTAAATTCTTTTTAAAATATTGATAATGTTAAATGCTTGAAAATGTATTTATTATGAATACTAAGTTGTAGGCTTGCATTTTTACGTACAATTTGCCTTCATAATTGGCAGATATGGTTATTCATATCTGATCATCCGGTTAATTTTTTTGCTTATTTGAATGTATCTTATCTCAACAAAGAGGTCATATGATGAAAGACAGCAAACAGCCAATGATCTGCTGATTTCAGACTTTAAAGTAGGTGATTTGAAATGAGTTTGAATATATGGAAATATACTGTAGCACTCCACCTCTACCGTACCTCACATCACAAAATATTTGTTTCAACATACTCATTTACCTAAGTCTTTCCATTTTTATGTTTGTTTTTGGTAGTTGTCCTGCTTTACAAGAATGTTTCATATTTGGGATTTATATCTCTTTTTTGTCCATAATGGTAGTTGTCATTGTCTTTGAATTATGATCCAAGAAAGGTGATTTCAAATATCTGATATATTTGGCTGTAATTTTTTGTTTGTTTGTTTCAGTAATCTTAAGCGCTCTGTTTTGTACTGTCTTTTCAGCCCAAACAATAATTGTTCTAACCTTCAAGTATAAAATGTGCGCGTGATATAAACCATGAGAAGTGTATTTTTGAAGATTGTTATTCATTTAGAAGTGCAGTAAACTTTCTGTCATGAAGTAAAATGTGAATTTTGTTTCCCTTTCATGTACTACATAGTTGAAGCAGAATACTTTTGAGTACTACTCTTTATAAAGTTGAATTGTGACATAGCATATTATATTCCTATTCAATGAATTGTTTCAGTAATATTTCACCTGTATTTAGGTATTTATTATCATCCATGTGAAGAGCTTTAAAATATAGCTTTAAAAACATAAGTCTAAAGTTAGACTCCTACGTCCACAGCTAGGCACCTGCCTGTTTTTTCCAAAGTGCTGAATTCTTAATAGCTGCTATTGTCCTGGCCCAGTGCAGAGGACTGAACTAGATGACCTACCGAGGTTCCTTGCAGGCCTACATTTCTATGATTTTATGAAATCAGACGAGGTCCTTGGGAGGAGTTGGGTACTCAGTGCTTTTAAAAATTGGGCAGACAACTTCCTTTGGATTATATAGATTAACTTTAGGTTCTGGACTTTTAAAATATGGTGCAGATATTAAAAACAAGGATCATGCATACACTTTTGTAGGTTAAAAGATATCCATTGGTTTATGTGAATAGATTAGGGTTGCTAACCCTCCAGGATTGTCCTGAAGTCTCCAGGAATTAAATATTAATCTTTAATTAACAATAATGTCATGTGATGAAACCTCCAGAAATACGTCCAACCAAAATTGGCAATCGTAGAATTGATGTAAAGTTGAAGGAGTTGCTAGTAGAGTGTTTCATTATGAATTGGTCAGAATTAAAGAGTCTGTTAGTGCATAGTACTAGGCAACCACAGTTTTTAAATGCTTGCTCCTTTTATGCTCCATATTATATTATTATTCTCACTTAAAAAATAGAAAACTAGGAGAGAGACAGAGAACTTTCCTTTATGTTTCATTTTCCATCATTGGGGATTTTTAAGAGCAAGTTGTACAAACACCTGTCAGGGATGGTCTAGATAATACTTAGTCCTGCCTTGAGTGCAGGGGACTGGATTAGATGACCTCTCCAGGTCCCTTTCAGTTCTATGATTCTATGATTTTAAACTGCAATAAATGCGCAACAAGCTTTAAGATCTTGTGTATTTCTCAGTGAACAAAGTTGTATGGATTCCTGTCTTCAAGCTTGGATAAACTAGTTTCTTCCCTAGCTTTAGAGAACACGAATTTTGTATTAGGAAACCAAATATTTTCCCTAACAGCTGAGTTTGGGTAGGTCTTGAAATGTTTTAGTTCATTTTAGATTTCCTCTAAATCTGAAAATAACTGCAGTACTGATGAAAGCAACATATTTTTAGGGCCAGGTCTTGCTGACTTCAGTAGAAGGATGGTCAGGGCCCATAGTGTTACTTTAATAAAAAAAAAAAAAAGACACAATAATCGTATTTAGAAGTCTCTATTTTAGCTAGCTATGTCAGAGCTTATTGTTTTTAATTCTTGTTTATTTTATTTGGGAAAGCAGGCTAAAGATACATCAGACCCAATAAAGGATAACAGTATATGCTCAGTACAGTGAACTTCCTTTGGCTTGATATGTATAAAACATTTTCTGTTTTATTTGTCTATATTCTTTGCTTCTAGAACTTAGTATTCTTTATCGCCTGGGGGTGGGAGGCACACCTTCTAAGAGACATTTAAAACCAACATTCTTCTACTTATTAGCTTGTTTTTCCTCCCCTTAGTCACCAAATTATTCTTAGGGCATTGTACATCTGGAACTCACCGTAAAGCTGAGGTCTAATCTAGTCAGACGTTCTTACCCTTTTTTATATATATGACTAACTTATGAAAGCTAACAACTTAAGCATTTAATGTAGAAGGACGGCTTTTCACTGTGGATGAAAGTCAGCCTCTTTACAATGTCATCTTGCTCATTTATAACTCTAGTATTACTTACATTTGAAGTATTGCTTTCTTTTCCTCTGCTGAGGGTTCTTGTTTTCTAATAAATATTGATACAGGAGCATTGATGCAGAAAGTCTTTTTGGATTTGTAGAATTTTTATTTTATCAGTATTTCTAGTAATGGAGATTCTGTACTTCCTCCTTCAAGAAATATCTTAACCAGTAAAAATGTAGACCCTGAAGATGCACATACATATGTGTAAGTTTAACTTTATATACATGAGTAATAGTCCCATTCAAATCAGTACTCTCACATGAAGTAAAGTATGCGCATACGTGTTTGCAAGGTTGGAGTCTAACTTATTTTAGTTTAAAATTCACTAAAATGCACTGGATCACCAAAAGTAGCTGGGGAGTCGAAGTAATTCTTATAGCCTTACGAAGATAACTTCTTGAGCTCCCTTCCTGCAACATACTATAAGGCTCTAGATCAGGGGTAGGCAACCTATGGCAAGTGTGCCAAAGGCGGCACGTAAGCTGATTTTCAGTGGCACTCATGCTGCGTTGGTCCTGGACACCAGTCCAGGGGGCTCTGCGTTTTAATTTAATTTTAAATTAAGCTTCTTAAACATTTTTAAAACCTTATTTACTTTACATACAACAGTAGTTTAGTTATATATTATAGACTTATAGAAAGAGACCTTCTAAAAATGTTAAAATGGATTACTGGCATGCGAAACCTTAAATTAGAATGAATAAATGAAGACTCGGCACACCACTTCTGAAAGGTTGCCAACCCCTGCTCTAGATTCTATGGGACATGTCTTCCAGTAATTATAAAATTACTAAATGCAACCACCACCTCCCAAAAAATGATTGGGAGCCAGGATTGAAAATGTGAAAGTCTGACAGATACGTTGAAAGGAACATACACAAGATATTGATATATTGGGGAGAACTTACCTTATCTCCATGCCTCAGACATTGCAACAATATGAGCAAGACTTCGAGCTTGTATATAATCACAGTTGATCTAATAAGAAAAAGTGAGTATATACCCTAATTTCAATTAGAATCATAGAATCATAGAATC